ATTCTCAACAGGCAGAGAAGTAGAGATGGGGGAGGGCAGGAGGAAGACATTCCAGGTTAAACGAATGGCATAAGCAAAGGTACAAATTATGGATAACAAAAAGTTATGTTGAACAATGGTGAGTGGTCTGGTTCAGCTAGATCATCATGTGAGCAGAAAGGTAGTGAGAAATAAGGTTGACTAGGTAGGCTGATGCTAAATCTCAAAGGGCCTCAGATTTCTGTCCAAAGAATCTGGTCTTGACTTTATACCTAGTAGAGAGAGAATGAAGTCATTTTAGACTAGTGTCATCTAAGCTCTGGACCTCAGAGCAATAATAGATTTTGGTATAAACAAAATAAAGTTTCCCAACTTAAATGTATTATCTTGGGGAAATCACAAATATTTGGATGCTTGGTTTCTAGTATATGTAATATGGCAAAATCACCCATCTCAAGATTTTGAACATTAAGCAAGATAAGGAAAGGGGAAAAGCATTTAACAAAGTATAAAACAAGCACAATATAAATGTTAAAACTTCATAACAAAGTATAGAGATCTAGATATTTCTCATAGTGACACAAACCCAATTAAGCCAGGACAAAGCAATCTATTCCGGCATAGTAACAGACTACAACAGAGAAGACTCTAAAACACAGCCTCAAGAATAATTTTTATAAAAGCATAACTTCAGCAGGCAAACTGATAGGAGACTCTATCTTATTTGGACCCTATTTGAGTTCCTGGATGTTTAAAGGATGATAGAATCTCTGGGTTAGTAGTAATAGGTCATCCAGTTCAATCTCCCAAATCTGATATTTGAACTCATACCAAATGATTGGCCACACTATGTACATACCTGCAGTGGTGAAGAACTTCCTAGGGTTACGATGCAACATATTGAATGTATCAGGCAACTCTAATTGTTAGAAAGGCTTTCAGGTTCAATAACAATCCATACCACTTAATCCACTCACTAGGTATCCAACACTTTTAACTAAATAACTAAAAGCTCTTCAGGAAGATTAGTTCTAATATGCAGAATATATTGGAGAGCAGACCAAAGACAATAAGGAGACGTTCTTATGGAAGATGAGGTCAAGAATCTGGAGGGGGAAAGAGGGGGGAAAGAGGGAAGAAGGGAGTGAGGAGACAAGGGGAGAGGGGGGAGACGAAGGGGAGGAAAAAAAGGAAAGAAAGAAAAGAATCCAGAGGTTTTGACAGGGAGGGGTAGCAGTAGGAAAAGAGAAAAAGAGAAAACGTATTTGAGACAGAACTCAGGGCATTTAATAAGACGCAGGAGGCAGGAATGGAAGAGCACGCAGGAGTCACAGATGACTGACATTGGTGTGTGGGGGGGTCAAATTAGTGTTTGAATACATTTTACATGCCAATAAAACACCCAGATAAAGGAATACAGCAAGCCAGATATAAAGTATTTTGGAACTCAGGAGAAAAGCCAAGGAACAGCTACATGAAGAGGTGAGATTTAAGGAGAAAAAGCAAGAAGGCAGCTAAAGGTGGGCTCCTTGGCACAGAGAATATCTGTTTAGGTTGACTGATCAAAGATTTGGAGCAATAGCTGTGGCTGGGGAAGCCCAAGAGAAACTGGCCCACAATGGACTCACTCCAGTGCCTCTGATCTCATTGGGAGCCAGCTCAAAGTGAACCAGCCCAGAGAGTCTGAATTCATTGGTGACTTTGGCCAAATGGACCCATGTAGCACATCTTTGCATCAGGCCTTATATTGGTCAGGCATGTTTTACTCTGAAATCCCTTGACACTGACAGCTTAGAGGCTAAACTTAATAAGAGGCTTGTTTTCAAGTCCTAGTTCAAGATAATTAAAGCACACATTGCACATTCAGAATTTATCTATCTTTCTCCACCAAGTTGGCTCTGATCACAGCGTCCTGGTGTAGGCTCAAGAAAAAAAAACCTCAGGGATTAAGGGTTGTAGGCTGCTGGCTTTGGCTAGAAACGAGCCCTGAAAAGCCCTGTTAGCCCACACCTTGAGGTCGGGTGGTGATTTGTCTTACTTTTATTACTAAACAGCTGAAACTTGGGATTTTTTTTTATTTCTTCCACCTGGTCACAGTGCGTTTTCACCAAGGCGCTTACAGTACCTTTTCAAATGTAGAAGGCAACGTGTGCATTCTTCTAACAGTTCTGGCTGCCATCAGTACTGCCACAGTTACAGAAATATCCAAGTACAAGGGAGAAAATGTATTTTTTCTCCTTTAAATTTCATCATATTACAGCAACCTGCCACAGAATCTACTCAGACCACCAAACTGCACACAGGGATGACTTCCTTTAAGGAACAGATGTAAACACACAATTCTGTTTTACCAAAGTGTATAATCATTTTAACCATATTTTAACTCATTTCACTTTTCCAGCTTATCCTCTTCTCAAACAGCAAATGTTTTGCCCTGAGCCACTTCAATGAAATACGCAAGCCAACATGATTGATAAAGTGAAGTTTGTTTTAAACAAAACTGGAATTGTCACTTCATAATTCATCTCTCTTATAAGGTTGAACTCTTTAGTGTATGTCTTCTTAAAGCTAAATAAAACTTCAATGGCTTAGTACCTGTGGAGACGTGTGTCAGGTGGGTAATTTGGGCTATTCCCCAGGTAGCCACACCATCCATTCACCCTGGCAAGCAGCATATGCTTGTATGGACTCTATCACCAATTACTGGCAAACAAGGAAGTTCTACTGTATTAAAGAACTGTGTCTCAGGAAATGAATAGGTAGATCAAGACTCAGACTCTATTTGGCCCGTAAACACTACAGTCCAGAAGCGCCTCTATATTCCCCATGCCTGACCAGTGGCTTTAGCCTCTGCATCCAGAAGTCCTAGCAGTAGGAGTCTCGTAAACACTGAAAATGGCCCGATTGCTCAACCTGAGTTAAGACCACCCAGAAATCATTGAGGGCAGCAGAGGCCATACTGCAAAACTGGCTTAAATCCCCAGCCCTTCTACTCTGAAGGCCTGGCCTTGACCTATCAGACAGAAACATAAATGGCCATGGTTCTAAGTCACCGGGACAGCTTTGGTCACCACTTGCTCCTCCTTCTGACCAGCCAGGGCTAGAGAGGGTGAACCAGAAGCCTTTGGTGCCACAGCCTTTTACCTGCATTTAAATGCTTTCTATTTAAATTATCTGCTTCAACCGCAGGTAATTGCAGGCTGTCTAGCCCAAGGCAGTCCCCAAATTGTAGAGCTCACATGGTGAGCAGGCGGTACACAGCCAGAGCCACCTCATTGGGTCCAGCCACAGCACAGCCCAGTCAGAGAGTAGTGGCCCCAAAACGGGCTGCTCTGCAGAGGAGAAGGAGTACAAAGGATGGAGTGGGCGCAGGTACTTAAGTTTCAGCACTTCTGCTGAAACTTCGGCTCAGGTATAACTGGAAATTTCACTCACCCTAGGCCCCAGGGTAGTTGCCTAATTCCTGTTTGGGGAAGCAAGGAGCACTGAGAAAAATGCCTTCTGAGCTGCAAGACCAGGTAGAAGCTGAAGTGCCTGCTACTCTGTTGGCCAAGAGCCCAGTAGCAAAGCATTCAATGGGCACCACTGCCCCTGAGTCCTCAGGGAGAGACCGTGTGGGGGTGGGGGGGTTGGGGGTGTAAGTGGGAAAGTGGCCCCCAGTCCTCCACACCTCTCCTGGACACTTAACTCCTTCCTTCTCAGGGGCCCTGTAACCAGGGTAGCCTTCCTGAACAGTATGTGCCTGCTGAACTTGCAAGTTTCAGGGACAAGTCCTTTCCTCCTTCCCTCTCTCCTTCCCTAGAGGTCTGACCCCGGGGCTGTGCAGCATGTTTAATAATCTACAACTTGGTTCCCCTGGCTGGGAAAAGAAAGCGTTCTTGGAAGTTAACAGAAGATGAGATTGAATGTACTGGTGGGGGGTAAATTATTCCTGAATAGATCCCCACCCCACTAAAAAAAACAAAAAACAAAAAACCCACACCCAAGGTGGACTACAGAGTAGCTTTCAGCCAAGAGGTATTTTTCCAGCACTCCAGCCCAGCCACCACTTTTGTGTGTGGCATGAAGGAAACATTAAATATCTGTTTACTAACATCTCCTTCAAAGTCCCTGGATCATAGAGATGGGGAGGGGGGGCTGGTGCAGAAACTAGGAGAAAACCCTGGAACAGAGAATTATTATAACCTACACTTCATTTGCCAGGTCTCTTTGCTAATGCATTTTTCTTAAACATCTGATAGTAACAAATGAAGCTAGTTGCTCCAACTGCGGACCCAGAGTGGCAAGGCTGGTTACACGCAGTGGCTGTCCCTCCTCTCCCTCTCTGGGGTCTGAAGTGTGGGTCCTCTCCCTTGAGCAATGGTTCAGAGAGGGTCACTCAACCTGAGAAACCGGCTCAAGGGGGAGCAGGGATTCCTGTGGGAAAGGAGATATGGCACCCCAGGGTCTGAACTGGGGTCCCTTCAGGTTCTCAAGGCAGGCGGGCAGAGATGGCCTCAGATCGCCAGAGCTCTCCCTTGTCTCATGCTCGCTGGGAATCCCCAGGAGCGGGAGAGCATTGCCGGGGAACCCCTCACTGCTCCGCCCAGGAGCCACCTTCAGCCCCATCCCCTAGCCGACTGCTCTCCTGGCTGCGGGCAGAAATGTGGGTAGAGTCAGAAAGAAGCACCCAGCAGGAGAGTGCTTTCCAGGCTACAGAGCCCGCGCTCCAGCCGCAGAGACCACAAAGATCCAGCAGCGGAAATGCAACGCACAGGCTGGCCAGCACCTGGCAGGCGGACGCGAGCTCCTCCTTGGCGAGGAGCCCCTGGCCTTGGGAGCTCTGGTCCCTAAACTTTCTGGGAGGGCTAAAGGAGGGAAAGGAAACCGGCGAGCGTTTCCTGACGCGGGGACAAGAGATGCAAGAGAGGCAGAGTCCCCGTTGGCCTCAGCCTAGTTGCTCCCTGCCGTCACTTGAGAGCCCAGGACTTTATCCCCTGGCCCTCGCCAACCAACTGTCCGATTTTGAGAATGGGCATTACCTGAGTCTTGCAAAACTTCTGGGGACGTCCAGCAGGGCTCAAGCGTGCAGTTCCACGTCTGGGTAGATCACGGTCCAGGCGAGATGGAGAGCTGGGCTCCAGAGAGAGCGGGCTCGAGCTTCCCGGGTGACAAGGGAGGCTGCCCAAAGGCGAGGGGGCTGGAAGAGGTGTGGGGAAGACGGTGTCTTCCGGAGCAGTGAACAGGGCAGCCCCGCACGTTTTCTCCACTCCCTGTCGTAGCCAAAGAGGATGCTAGAAAACTTATCCCCGCCCAGGGAAGATTTCTAGAGTTCAGCAGAGCTTCTGTGGACTTTAGGGGGAGCTGGCCAGGCAGAGGTTAAAGAGGGTTCCTAAATCGCTAGAATGGCAGGTGCCTCCTCTTGGCTTCGTGGCCAGAGTCTCCTAAGTCTCCTGCCTCCCAGCCTCTTCCTTCTTCGAGACTTTGCTTCAGAACAGCCTTGCTCCAGCCCCACCTCCTCTTGGCCAAATGGCGCACCTTGGGAGGCAAGCGCCTCAGCCTGTGGCCCTCACGCCCCTCAGGAGGCACGCATGCCCCAGAGGGCAGCAGCCCTATCGCCCTGACGGCAGCACAGGCGGCAGGTGCGAACTCTGCCTGACTGCCGCTCTCCTGCCTGTTCGCTGCTCCAACCTTGCCTGGGAACGTTCTCCAGCCAGTGCGCAAAAGCCTATATATCTCCCCTAACTCTGAAGAAGGAGCGGTGCCCTGGAAGCGTGCTCCAGGCTCTCCTCACATCCTGCCACCGCTGCTGCCGCTCTAAAATATGCCTAGAGTAGGGGTAGGAGGGTAGTGAAATCACCTACAGCTGCGTCTCGGTCGCTAACAGTTTGATGCCTCCGGGCTGACTGATTACACGGGGGAGGAGGTGGGGATCAGAGAAAACCGCTCCGGCACGTCACGGAAAAGGGTTACTGCTGCTCCTCCTCCTCTTCCACACCCCTTCGGATTTGGGAGCGCGGGGAGGGAGAGTGGGAAAGGCTTCCAACCCCGAGTTCCCCCATCCCCTGGTTTAAAAAAAAAAACACTTCCCTCTTACCTTTCCCGGGAGAAGGAAAGCGCGTCCCGGCAGCGCCGTCTAGCGTCCGTACCGGAGTAGGCCCGCCTACAGAGTTGGGGCGAGCGCTGAACTGGGTGAGGGGAGGCGGGGAAAGCCGCTAAGCAAAGTTTTTCAGCTATCCTGGTCTCCAGTTGCACCCACTGAGCAGTTATCTAGTTCAGCCAGGAGTTCACCTGCTTGGTTCCCCCAGGCCAGAACTTAATGTTATTAAAGACGCAGGCCACCTAATTGTATTCATAATGTGAGCTTCCTAGCACCAGAGAGAACTCCTCTTTTCCACCCCTCCCACGTTAGAGATCCTTAAGTCTCAGGGTTTTCCAGCCTCGCCAATCATACGGTGGGCAGGGAGGGCTGGGACCCCAGGATGGGCTTGGAGATAGAACCCGGGCAGCGAATCCAGGCAATGATTGTTTATGCCGCGCGCCTGAGGCTCGCGAGCGGTGCTCCTGACCACCTGAGCCTCCAAGGTCACGCAACCCAGGAGCTCCTCTCTTAAAGAGTGATGGGATGAGAGGGACTACGACTCAGTAACTGACAGGGTTTCAATTGCAGCAGATGAAGAGACCGTTTCCACGCCAGGTATCTCCCAGAGCGTTCTGCTCGGCTCACGGGCGCCTTGCTGATTAACACACACTTAACAGGATTGCTCATTTAACGGGTCAGCTGAGCGCTATACTCCAGCATTTGCTGCTGCGCTAGGCTCCTATTAATTTGTCTTTCTCTAAGCTGTCTCCAGCTGTTCTCCTGAGTCTACTCCATCGCGCTGCATTAGCTACAGAGAGAGCGGCGAGAGAGCGAGCGAGCCAAAGACGGAGAAGGAGACAGGGCCCGAGAGAGAGCAGCTGAGCGCTCCATGCGCGCTGCTCGCAGCGCAGACCCGCGCTTTCCTTCTTTTCCTTGGCCATTTGGTCTCGATCCACCATCCCCTGGGCTGTTAAGGCCGAGCCTGTGCACAGTTAAAGTTACTGTCCCTCTCTCACCTCTCATGCCAAGTTTATGCATTCTTTTCTCCCGTTGACCATCTCATCAAATCTGGCGAAACCCCACCCTGAAAAATTCTTTCTGCAGTTGAGGTTAAGTCAGGGAATCAAGAGAAGTCAGGTGTGGGAGGTAAGGTCCTTTTGGCAGGAACCAAGTTATCCTCCCAGGATTTTGTTGTTTATACGCACGGAGTGGTGGGGGAAGGGCTGTATTTTGAAACGGAAAATGTTTTACAGTTTCTGCTTCTGTTTTCTAACAGCTCCTCTTTTCAGATAAAAACTCATTCTTCCGATGGGGACTAGACAGCCAGTTCTCCCTTGCTCTTTGCTGTAGAGCTCCTGCAAACGTCCCTCTGCTTGTGTGCTTGCCCTGAGCCGGCTGATCACCACTTCCAGCCAGCCATCCGCGCCTACATTAATGTTACTCGGATTCAAGGCCAAGTGCTTCCAACAAGCCAGGGACTGCAGCAACTCAGGGTGGAAGAACACGTCCTCCTCACATCTCACCTGCCTGGTGCCTCCAGTCTTGCCTTTAGCATAGCACCAAGCCCTCATGTCCTGGGCCTGAGCTGAGCAGCTAGGCTGTCATAGGTGAGGCCATTTGGCCAAACCAGGAAATCTCACTTACATTAGGATGTTAAGGAGCCAGCAGTCAGCGTGAAGGGAGCTCGGTGGGAATAGCAGCCAATAATATCCCTAAGCAATTTGTCAAGTAGTCAACACAGTTAAAAAAAATAAAACAACCCCCCCAAAAAACCCTCTTCCTGTCCTGTTGATTCCTTTTACCATCTTTCTATGCCCAAGTCCACCCAACTTCACTCTAACGCTCAGTGCCTTTATGTATCCAAGTTCTGTACCTGCTGCCCCATCAAAACTTACTCTCCTGTGTACCGACCATTCTTTCAGTACTCTCCCTGCTGATGACAATGTGTTGGTGTCCCAGTGTGATAAATGCCTAACAAGTCTAGCTAACCTTACTCGCCTGGGTAATATCACCGTTCATCAGAGGCTTTAAGAAGACTTTCCAGAGTTGGGGAACTAAGGCACTATGGCAGATCAGTGGATTTTCTTTGGATGGAGAAAGGGTTATTGGTACCCATCAAAGAGGGCTGCTCTTTGACCTATCCTACTGGTCTGGCTTATGGTTAAATGAAGCAATTGCAAAAGAGTTGAGGAATATAGGAATAAAGAGACCAAATAGGAACAAAATGCTAAGAAAATGGAGAAGGAACCACTGACTTCTCAAAAACAATTTAGTGAAACTTTGTGGTCTAGGGCCTTGCTCCTCAAAGTGATATGCATGGACCAGCAGCATTGCAGCATCACCTGGGAGCTTGCTAGAAATGCAGAATCTTAGGCCACAGCCCCAGAACTACTGAATCAGAAACTTCACTTTAACAAGATCCTCAGGTGATTTCAAACACATGTTAACAATTGAGAAGCATTTTAAATAAAATCTTTCAACTCTGCCTAGCCCAGGAGACAAAAAGGGGCAATTAGTGTGATCACCCAAGGATCTAATAATAGGGTCTGGCACCACCATTGTCAGATGATAAGCACCAAAGAACAAGGCCAGAACCATCTGTTTAGGCCAATTAGGCCCAATCTATTTCATGACTAGGGACATATATCAAGTTATAGTTAGCACCCCTACCTACAGATGGCCTTTTTGCAAAACTGTCCTTAGTTACATGAATAAATAGGTGAGAGTGTGGCATAGCTTAACATAATTCAATCACTACTGCTGAATAAACAAATTGATTCCCATGTTCCACTAGGGAAGGGTAAGTATCATCATCTTCCTAATAATATTAAGAACAGGACTTTACAGAGTTCGGCAAATTATGGGCACTCAATAGATGCTTGCCGATTAATGGTGAGAAGAGCTGATAATCATTTAGTGAAGCCAAAAGTCTTTACAAAATTAACAATTGGGATAAGTAGCTTTGCAAAAAAATAAGCAAAAAATATGCTGAACTTAAACTTATCTCTTCCCAAGGCAAATTTCAAAGTTACCTATTAGGATAATAAGGTGAGACTAGAGAACAAATAGTTACTGAATGTCTGCTCATTTACCAGGTGCCCTACATACTTGATCTTATTTCATCCATGTTTCTAGACCTGGCTGATGGCCAAAATTACTCATTTAGCACCTTGTTAAAGATTCCTGGAACCATGCTGAAGTTCTATTAAATCAGAATCTCAAGGGGTGAACCTCCTCAGGTGGGGAGCACCTTTCTAAGCAAAACTTAAAACCCATGAACCATAAGGAAAGAGATTGATAAATTTTAGTACATACTAATTAAACAGTTCTCCAACGGGGGAAAAAAAAACCACAATAAGCAAAGTCAAAAGACAAACCATAAACTGGGAGAAAAATTGCAACAACTCAAAGGGAGAATTTTACTAATATATAAAGGGCTCTTACAAATCAGTTAGAAAAATAATCCAACAGAAAAATAGGCAAAGGACATGAATAGAGTTTAAAATGTGAATGGACATGTATACATGGGGAAATAACTGCGAACTAAACCATAATGGCAAAGAATAAAAATGTTTCATAGTACCTAGTGTTGGCAAGCATGTGAAGAAACGGATCCTCTCATTCACAGTTAGCTGGAGTGTAAATTACTGCGACCACTTTGGAGAACAATATGGCAATGTCTATAGAAACTACTGATATGAACTGATTCACCATACACATACTCATATATAAAAAGATATTTCTGTGTGAATATTTAAGAAATTAGCAACAGTGGTTCTTTTTTGGAAGAGTGGGTTACTGGCAATGTGAAGTGAGATTACGTTTTATTGTTTTACTACATATTATAATGTACATTGGAATTTGTCACACCCTCACTGTTAAAGAATTATCCATTTACACCCTTTACCTTGTGACTTTTAGTACCTCCCACTAGAGTAAAAGGAGTGTATTTCCCCTATTCCACTGCAGTTGGCCACATGACTTACTATGACCAAAGGAATATTAGCAG